CCAGGAGATCGAACTTTGTTGAACGGCGCGCCCGGAGATCGGACAGTGTTGAACGGCGCGCCGGGAGATCGAACTTTGTTCGTAGGACGCGTCGATGTGTTAAATTTTGATGTCATATTTATTTCATTTTGAGCATATCTTTTTCAATTACTTACTTAAAAGTCATGTTTTTACTGAAAGTATCATTAATCTTTGTAGGAATCTGGTTCAGCATCAAGCTCAGGTGCAACGGAAAAGCATACAGATAAAAACCCAGACAGTTCAAATGTAGAATCTGATGATGATGACAACGATGTAGGTTGTTTTGTGTAACTGTTTTAACTTAAGAATAGTCTTGATCATGTCCAGTATGATACTGTTGAGTTATAGCTTGCATACCTTTCTCTATTCATTTTCTCCTATTTTATACTTAAAGGATACTGCTTCGCCATCAACATCCAAAGGCTCTGAAAAGAAGAGGAAGCCTGAGTCCAAAACCCAAGATGTGAGTATTAATTGTTTTCAGAAACCTTTCATAAAACCTTTCAAACCTTGCTTGGGTTACAACATAGTCTTTTGTAACTCTTGGTCTTGTAATTGAGTGTGATTCAGATTGATTAGTGAATTCTTCAACTTAATTCAGTTTTTGCCATTTCAAATACAAAAAATAAGTTATGTTGTACCTTCTCTCCTGTCACCTTTAGCAATACAAATTTCTTAATATTTTATTTGATTCTTATGTTTCCTTCTTTTTAGGACAAGAAAAGAGATCAGCCACCCCGAAAAAAAAAGAAGAAGACGCGTGATGGTAAAAACAAGAAGCAAAGGAAATCTGATGGCAAGGATGATGAAGTGAGTTGTATACATAAACAATAATTCTTCTGTATTCTGTTTTGTTCTATTTTTTATGTTTGTTTTACTAATTTATATTTTATTTCAGGCATCTCCTAGTAAAATTTCAAAACCGTCTAACAAACAAGAAGGGAAAGACAAGGCAGACAATTCCGATGTTGATGACAGTGATGTAAGTTCTTCATTTTTATTTATTTAAGTCATGATCAAGGCTGAACATCGTATAATGTGCTTACAGGAATCCTCATCTGATGAAGAAGTAAACAAACTAAATAAGGCATCTGCCAAGTTAGGGGACTTTAGATCGATTAAGGATTTGCCTGTGCATCGTTATTTTAGAGTTATTACATTTGAGGCTGTGAATACTGTTAATGGGCAAGCCATTCGGGTTAAATTATTTGATAAGACTACTGACGAGATCTTTTTTACTCACTTGCCAAAAAGATTGTATTCCATTCCATTGCTGAAGATTTGGAGAACCTTAACGAAATTTGCCAATCAGATAAACCTTTTTATTTTGCATTCCTGGGTTATAAAGGAAGAGGTTTTAAAATTAAATTTACACGGAATCCCAGTAAATCAAATAAAAAGAAGTGATGTTCAGCTTTGATTGATTTGCTTTTTGTTTCAATTTGTCACAAAGCAAATTGTAATGTTCAATTACTTTTTAACTCAGATTAAGGCAAGAATTGCTCTAAGAAATTATTGGAAAGAGAAGAAACGTGCTCAAAGATTAAAGAATAAGAAAAAGTCTAATTCATGAATTGTTACTGTCTCATCATATCAGTTTCTCAATAAATTTGTTAAAATTTATTTTGTACTGTCTTTTCTTTTAAGGTCCAAAATTTATCAACAAGGAACAGTTATGAGCGACTAAAACAATGGCGAAAAAACAGGACAACATCAAAGGCAGATATTGACAGGAAAAAGCATAGAGATTGGATGAGGAATCTGCGATCTAAGGAAACCAAAGATAAAACTGACAAGAGGAGGAAAGAAGACCGAATGCGACATAGGCTATCTAGAAAATGTAAAATTTCTGGTATAGGTAACTTTGACAAAAACAAGGGCGCACCCTGATTCTCCGACAGCGTATTATAATAACTCGTTGTTGTAATAAAATAAGTGAGTTATCGTAATAACGGTAAACGGCTCGTTCCGACTCTCCGACGACTTTATTTATTTATTTATTTATTTTAGTAACTCTATAGGCTCCTAACGCAAGTAGTTGTTGCAACAATAACAGCGCTAGTAAGTTATTTCAATAACTAGACGCTATTGCAATAACAGGGACTTATTGAAATAACTTTGAGTTATTCAAATAACTTTCTTTGCCGCGCTCGGCGCTCCTTCCGGCCGGGCGCGCGCGCCGCCGCCGCGCCGAGCCGAGAGCCGAGGCCCGAGCCGAGCCGAGCGGCGCCCGAGGCTGAGCGCCGAGCCGAGGGCCGAGCTCGGCTGTCGGCCGCCGTATGAGAAATTGCGCAGTCGTGTTGCTCGCGCTAGGCCTGCCGCGAGCCTCTGCCGCTTGGTCCTGGCCGTATGTAACATTGCGGTTCGCGTAGCCAAAGGCATCAGTGCGATGAAGGGGAAGAGGAGAAGAAGCTCGTTGACTTGATTCTTAAGCAATGCATTGCGATTTCATTCACCTCCCTAACTGATTCGAAGACGTGTGCTAAAGAAGAAGGATGATTCGCAAGTGAGTACCGTTCCTCTACTCGTGACTCGGCGTCCCCGCTTGTCCGTTTTGAGCAAATAGCCCTTCTGTAGAGACGCAGGCAACGTGGTTGTCGGGGCCGTCGCAATGCTTTTCAAGAGGTTATTTGTGTTTGACGCAATGTTCTCCAATGGGCCTCTTTTCCTGTGTAGTACCTTTTCACATTGCGCTCGGGTAACTGTTTGCACGGATTTTGCGGCATCCTATGGCCCTCCTAACCTTAGAGAGGACCACGGCCAGGTGACCTAACCTCTGCTGGCCTGCAGGCGACTGTGCTCGGAGCTCTGCTTTTCTGTTCCCTTGTCGTCTGTTAAGAGGACGTTTTTCCCTGCGCCGTTGGCTTACTTTAAACACCAGCATCTGTCATTCAAGTGTCGATATCGATGTTCAATGTCATCCGAATTGTCTAAAACAAAACCTTTGATTCCAGGACCAGTTGGGGTGTCCACCAGCGAGAGCTGCTGCTGGCGAGACGATACAGGGACAGGCCTTGAGCACAAGGACCCTCGGTATGTAGTTCCACAAATTTTAAGTTGTACTTCCTGCTCATACACTGACTGTGCGCTTTTCAAGTGAGCTGTGTTGCACTATGCTGTTCATTTGATTCCAGGGCAAGTCGGGACCTGACATTTGGAGTAGCTTGGTGCGTGTGTGGCCACTCCTGGGCAGTATCCCTCATTTGATGAACAGAACGTGGGAGAGCTCAGTAAGTTCAGTGTAGAAGTTGCACATGTAGCAAGTGGTCGATGGCAGTGTATTGATGAGTTTTATCTTGCAGGAGTTTAAGTGGAGATGAGGGTGACGCCCCTCCCCGAGGCTGTGAAGGGATCTTGGGTTGAGGGGCAAGTGGCCGCAGAGAGCCTCAGAGTAAGTGGGCCTTGTGTCGAATGTGCGTCATGTGTTGAAATGTGCCTAGGTGTAATAGTTTGTCTTTTGTTGCAGGGCTCGTGGCGGCTCTTCAAGGCCTGGAGTGTATTCACATCGGTCATGATGCAGGGAATGCGATGATGACAGTGTCCTTCCCTGAGGCCGCGGCTGGGAACTCGGGGAAGGAAAAGTATGTCCAGAGGGCCTCCTGGTATGACAAGTTCCTTACGTTTAATATAGTTGTATTGATCCATCTCCAGTGCTCTTATCTGTATTGTTTCTGATTTCAGGGTTTGTGGAGGCCCATCTGGTAAATATGATGTGGAGCTTGGTATGTGTTGCACCAGTTGCTTCTTGCTCTTGTAATTTACCCGTGTTATTGGTGTATTGATGAGATTTCTTATCTTGCAGGTATTGTGATGACGACGACATTGTCCTCCCCTGAGGCTGCTGCTGGGAACTCGGGGGAGGACAAGCGCCTTCAGGGAGCCTCCTTGTATGAATGCCTTATGTTTAATTTGGTTTTGGTGTCGAATCTTGTCCAGTGCTCTTATCTGATGTAATATTGTTTCTGATTTCAGTTCCACCAGCCAGCACGTCGCGTAGCTGGTTGAGGCCCTCCTGCCCTCTGGGAAATATGACGTGGAGCTTGGTATGTTTTGCATCAGTTGCTTCTTGCTCTTGTAATATACTTGTGTTATTGGTGTGTTGATGAGATTTCTTATCTTGCAGGGATTGTGTTGACAAAGTCCTTCCCTGAGGCTGTCGCTGGGAACTCGGGGAAGGAGAAGCAAGACCATAGGGCCTCCTGGTATGACGAGTTCTGTTCGATTAATATAGTTTTATTGAACCCTCTCCAGTGCTCTTATCTGTGTTGTTTTTGATTTCAGGGTTTGTGGAGGCCCATCTGGTAAATATGATGTGGAGCCTGGTATGTGTTGCACCAGTTGCTTCTTGCTCTTTTAATTTTCCCGTGTTATTGGTGTATTGATGAGATTTCTTATCTTGCAGGGATTGTGATGATGACGACGACATTGTCCTCCCCTTCAGGGCCTACAGTTTGGAAGAGGGTAACTTGATAAACAGAAGGATGAAGCGCTCAGTAAGTGTAGAATGGTGCTGAGAAAGTTTCCCGTGTCACAATTTATTGACTGATGTTTTTTTTTTCCAGGGAGTAACGCAATGACCTCCCTCCTGAGGAGGACCAAGGGCCATCAGAGACCCGCCTTGGTAGGAATCCTTCCTCTGGGATGTGAATGGGTATGTGTGGAAATGTGTTTAGATGTAATATTTTGTCTTTTGTTTCAGGGCTTGTGGCTCGTGGCTCTCTATGGCCCAAGGCATGGATGGAAGGGGATAGTTTGATGAACAGAGCAAAGAAGCGCTCAGTAAGTACAGAATAGTGTTGAGACAGTTTCCCGTGTGGCAATTCATTGACTGTAGTGTCCTGATGAATTTTTTTTTCCAGGGAATAATGCGATGTCCTTCCCTGAGGCTGTGGACTTGGAGGGACAAGGGTACTCTGTCAACCCGTCGCTGCAGCTACTTGTGCTGGCACCAGAGCGCCTCCCTGGTAGGAATCCTTCCTCTGATCTGTAAATGGGTATGTTTGGAAATGTGTCTAGATGAAATATTTTGTCTTTTGTTTCAGGGCTGGTGGAGGCTCTCTATGGCCCAAAGCATTGGATGTACTGACTTTACACAGGAGGATGAAGCACCCTGTAAGAACAGAGGTGTTGCTTCTTGCACTAGTGAGAAAGTTTCTCGTGCCGTAATTTATGTACTGCAGTTTGCTGATGAGGTTTTGTTTGAATGAAAGGGCTGTTTGGCAGGGGCAACTTGGTATGAATCCTTTCTGTTATGAGTCTTGTTGGTCTGTAGCCTGGTGAAATATTTTAACATCCCATATTATTTTTGTGATTTCAGGCCTTGTGGGAACGCCCTGGGTGTTGCCCCTTCCTATAGAGTGGAGCAGAGGAGAGGGACTCTTACCGTGATAGTTGTGCTGTACCTCTCACTGGGGTATGCTTTGGCATTGTGTGTGCTGCTCGCTGCACAACCTTGGTGTTGAAAGTACCGAGTAAGAGTCAGTCTGTCCCTGTGCTTTGGATATTTGGGCAGCTAGAGTTTCTCTCACAGTTGTCTTCAGTACTCTTGTGGGATTGGGAGACGGCCATCAAACTGCTTCCTCTCCTGGACTGCCTACTGTGACTACAACCTGTAAGTATATCATCACCGCATAGTTTTTTTGAAGATGTTGTGCCTTGCAGAAGGATCATGGCTTCCTTTTGATTTGCAGGTGACAACGATATGCTGCTTCATACTAGTTGACATTGGAAGCTATCCATCTCTCTCTGAGCAAGTGCTGAGTTTGTTCCCATGATTTGTCGGGAATGATAGTTACGCTCATTATCTGGCTCTAGATAAGGGCAATCCTGAGCAGAGGTGAGGCTTAGAACTAGAACATTATCTCATGTGAAATTACTGGAATGCAATTAGTGACTCGGATGTATGGCTTCATATCAGTAACTCATACTGGTTTTATTTGCAGGCAATGTCTCCTGGCAGTGCTTGAGAAAGACCACAACTATTTTGAAGACCCTCCCCTGAGTGATACCAAGCATGGAATGTGGTGAAGTTTGCAGATTGAATCCAACATCAGGTTTTTTTCTTCTTTGTATGATTGCCTAAATGGTTCATTCCTATCACTCGAGAGTAGGTTGTCTGGTTCAGAAACAAGTCTAGTCATGGTCTGAAGGTGAGTTTTTCCCCGTGGCCATATAGTCTTTAAAACGCTGATTTGCTCACAATCCTAATTGCCAAGTTTATTGCAGCAAGGTCCCTTCAAAACATTGGGGCAGTTCTGCAGTTGTGCGATTCCATCCTCAGACCATAGTTTCTCATCGTAACCCCAAATTCTACTGTGCTAACAGTCTCTCGTGAGACTGAGGAAAATCATCTTAAATGGATAACAGGCAAGTTTTCATGCAGCTTCTTAATTGTTTTACTGTGTTTACCTTGACCATTTTGGTTTTCTAATACTATTCTATTGCTTGTTTAGGTATGGCTTGGATGGAACTCCTCATGTGAAAGGTTTATCTCGATTGCTGTCACAAGTCATGAGAACACTGTTTACTACGAAGAATGTGTGGCATGTGGACGCGGGTTTGTTTTGACATATTAACTACTGTGCTACTGGTGGCCTTTTGAGGATGGACTGAATCAACAGTTGATATCATAGGTGTGTAGTTGTTACTGCAATCTCTTTATCCTGGCCCTCCCACCTCTTCTTGGTTGGTAACTGATGTTGATACTTTGGTATTACAGGTATCACTTTGCGGAGCTGTCGGATGCTGTGAGTTGTTGAACTGCAGCAACTCTTTCTCTTGGTGGCTGTGAGTGAACTTGAAGATATACTCAACTGCAGGTGAGAATTAAGTCTTCATTAGACCAATTGAACAAATTTTTTTTATTTCTATTTAAATTTTTTTGTGTTGCC